ACAGATCTGTGATTCAACAGTCTTGCACAATTCACAGCGCTCACCATAGCACATACCCTCCCCAATGTCTCTCACCCAGGCACCCCATCCCTCCCACCCCACACCACTCCAGCAACCCTCAGTTTGTTTCCTGCGATTAAGAATTCCTCATATCAGTGAGATCATATCATACATGTCTTTCTCTGATTGTATGCATCGGAATATTAAAGGCTCCAAGAAGTTCTGCAACTAAAAGAAAAAACTGTGTAGACTTGTTTAACTTAGAGTTTCCCAAATTTGACCACAGAAATCTATTTTAATGAAAGTTTTTTAATAGTCATTAGAATATTCTCTAAGACATACTTCGGGGAATGCTAACATAGTAATTGTCAGCAAGTTTTGAGGGTTCTGCCTTGGTGGCCCAGGAAAGCAGAACATGAATGCACATCTCATTCAGAACACTTCCCCATCAGAGCTTCCTCATTGTGCAGAATTCATGGGCCTTCCTCAGCCTTGCTCTCCAGCATTCACTGCTCTAGTGACAGAAGGCAGGTCTCTGCAGTGGGTGCTGTCGTGGTCAGTGGGTGAGATGCCACAGCATTTCTGCCCGCGAGTCTGAATCGAGAGAGAAACCTCTTTTATATCAATTCATGATTAAATAAATCCACAGATCATGGAATTTGTGTAGATTTAGAACAAAGATTCTTTCAGAATTAAAAAAAAATGACCTCAGTTAAGCTTCAAAAGTCTTTGGAAGAAAATGCATCACTGCAGTCAGGAAAAGCCGCATGTGCCCTGTGTTCTCCCTCAGGCGGGGTAATCAACCGCCCCCCTCCAGTAGCTCTAATGGAGTCACTTCACGGCAGAGTCATCCTGTGAGCTGGCTCTAATCACATCTGCTTTTCACCAAGGGCAGTCTTAGGCTGTGATAGCAAAAACAACAGAGCCATCGGATTCTCCTGGCCTTCCTTCCCTTTCGCTCAGAATGATCTCCCTTACCCATCACCTGACCCCATGTTTTAAATGGATGTTCTCGCTGCTAGCGGAACGCCTCACCTGTGATCTCCGCAGTGTCCACACGAGTTAACACATCATTTCGTGATCCTGAGGACTGATAAACATGCCGTTTCACATTGCTGCCTTCCTTTGGAGAAGATAGCAGTGCTGTCTGCATTATGCAGGGATATGGAGTAGCTTTTAGGGGCTGTGATTCTTTTTTTTTTTTTTTAAGATTTTATTTATTTATTTGACAGAGAGAGAGATAGCGAGAGCAGGAACACAAGCAGGGGGAGTGGGAGAGGGAGAAGCAGGCTTCCCGCCAAACAGGGAGCCCGATGTGGGACTCGATCCCAGGACCCGGGGATCATGACCTGAGCCGAAGGCAGACGCTTAACGACTGAACCACCCAGGCGCCCTAGGGGCTGTGATTCTTAAGGGCCTGGGAAGCAGGAAAATCCAAACCATCTGAATAATCAGAACGTGCACATTAGTTGCAGAAGGAGTCCACATACAAATAACTGTGGTTTCCCATGCAGCTGTTCTGCTCTCCTTTCTTAGTCATTCGACAGGTGGGTGTTAACCCAGAGACCAGTCAGGCTGCACAGAGATGCTGGGTGGCTGGGGCTGGACAGTTAGAGCAGGCCCAGACCGGGGGGGTGGGCTCACTCAGAACCACAGGGCCCATGTTCTGTAGTATAGAATCCTAATGAGACGTCTGTGACCCCATCTGGAAACTCCCGTATTCTTAGATGGGAGTGCCAGGCTTTCTAATTTGCCGCTCGTTTAGTGATTCAAAACAAGTTCATAAACAGATCTGTTCTAGTCACAAAGACAAAGGCAGAAAAGGATGTGGCCTTGGCAGCAATTCTCAGTCACAAAGGAAATGAGAAAGAGAGGTCTCCTTCACTTTCCCAAACACACAGTGGAAGTCACTTGAACCATCTGGATTCATTCACTGGGATCAATGGGCTTGATAATTAAAATGCCAGTAGTAAGTCTAATTCATCCATATGTCTTAGGGGGCACCCTGCTAATTTGCATGATTATCTGTTAGTTGAGCTGTGTTATCATCAAATTCAACATATTGAAGAACTCTTTTTCTGGGGTTCATTTACCATCAAACTGGTCATAATGCAACCTCTTGAATATGGTGGGGTAGGGGAAGAAGTAGCATTAGCAATGATTCGGACTGCATGTCCTCAAAGATGTGAGAAACTCTAATATCTGGACACGTTGTACTTCGTTTTAAGTGTGTGTGTGTGTGTCTCTCTGTGTGTGTATACTTGCATGCACTAAAGTAAACCCATTCATCATGTTTTCAGATACAGCTTTCTACTTTGTATAGTGAAAAGCAGATTGACTGGTCCTCTACTGTCCAGTATGGTAGCCACAAGCCACATTTGGCTATTCAAATTCAAATTAAATAAAATTATGTAAAACTTAAGATTTGGTTCTTTTACGCTAGCACATTTCAAGTGCTCAGTAGCTACATGTGACTAGTGGCTGCCATATTGGACGGCACAGATATGGAGCTTTGTCATCACCAAAGAAATTTCTGTTGAACAGTGCTGTATTTCAAAATGTTTTACTTCAAGAACTTTTGTCACCTCAGTATTTTTTACATGCTTGGGACTTGTATACTAACCATATTTTTATTTGTTTGCTTTCAGACGTTGCCCTGGGACCTATGGACGGTAAGAGTGCTAAAACCTTGTATTTTGATGTATCTGGATCCCTAGAAATTTGAAAACCCTGTTATATTTAAATTTACCTGCGGTGGGAAGAAGACCTAGACATTTTTAATGACAGTGTAGTTCCCTAGAACAATCATCAGGTCCCTGATGGTTCCAAGCATTACCAGCACCTGGAAACAATGGTGAGGAAAATAGTGTCAGTGTGCCAGACGCCTGGATAAGCAAGAATTTGGTGTTATGCCCCTTTATGCTTCTTCCTGTGGTTATTGGTGGCTACCGAAAATGTTGTAGTGAAGGGCGGGCACATTTTTTGTTGCTTTTAAACAGAACAGAAGAAAATATGGATGAGAAAATGTAAGGGGCAGGCTACTCTGCACAGGGAACCTCTTTCTTACTATTATTTCCAATGATAATGAAGCTTCATCAATAAGAATTTGAGCTTTAGAGCCAGACAGCTCTGGATTTGAGTCCAGACTCTACCTCTTATAACAATATGACTTTGAGCAATTTATGAACTTCTTTCAGTCTCCGCATTTCTCATCCATAAAATAAGGGTAATGATGCCTACCAAAGAGGGTTGTGTGAGGATGAAGTAGATAATATTTGTAGAGTGCTTAGCCCCATGTCTGATACATATCAATAAAAGGTAGCTGTTACTACTAATGGTGTGTATTCAGCTAATCTGATGTGCAAGGATGAGCACTTCCAGAAGTTAGAGTTGGGAAAAAGACACGAACAGAGCTTTATGGTGCAGCATGTGTGCTGTGGGATTCGGAGGGTGGCCACACCCATATGGAGCTTCACACCCTTCAGGGGCAGGGCGTTTGTCTGCCCTGTCTTGGAGAAGCTCTGGTCACATGGTCTTCAGAACTCAGCTATTGAATTTCGTGCTGTCTTTTTAGTGAGACAGCAACAGGAAAGTTTGCTAGATCGAGCTATTCATGGGCCTGGTCTTCTGAAGTGACACTGCTACTCTTTTATCTTAAAACAGAAAGATGACTGCCCCCTTCCCTTCCACGGGAGTGGGTTTATACTGCACTAATACTTAGGATGCTTGAAGCATCATGGAAGGCTCTCGACAGAAGAGCTAAAAGATGTTAATTGAAAGCTGGCTTTGCTTGTATAATCACAAAAAGGGATACATGGACTGACGTTCAGCACATTTGAATTCTAGCCACAACTCTGTGTTAATGGTCTTGACGACCAAGAACACAGTGCTAATGTTTTATTATTCCAGTATTTCATATCTTTAGTTGGAGTCATAATACATTTTTCCTTCTGTAGCTGGGAAGGGTATGGTGAAGATGAAGGTATTATCTGGAGGGATCATGGATTATTTCAGAGGACAAACCTGCTAAGAATAGTAGCAGTGACAAAATTGCAAAACAATAGCTCCCTGGACATAATTGCTGGTGTTCCTTGATCCTCTCAGTCCCCCAGGGTTGTTTGTGTGCAGACAAGACTTCTAGGCTGGGGGGAGAACGTGAGGAGAATCGTCCAGTCAGAGTGGTTAGTATCAGATCATCCTCCATATAAACACTACCTCAGAGGAAGAAGCAAGTGTGGGGTGAGTTTGGGGAAAGGTTTATTCTGATACTGTGTGAGAGCATATAATACTGTGTATTTTTGTGGCTGCTAGGGCTTGGTCTTATTCTGATGTTCTCAGGTTTGCTTTTTTATTTGAAACTTTGTGTTTCAGAGTCTGCTAAAGCAGAAGTCTTGTAATAGCCCTGAAAATCGTTGTTGACTAGAAAATGAGAAAGGCTTTATTCATGTTTCAACTGTGTAGTCATAAACGGTATTGAAACAAAACTCATTTCTATCACAAAACAAGTTGTAAAATTTAATCTCAAACCAGTAAAAGCTATAGCTTTCAGGAGAATGTTGACTCTGGACAGCATGGGATTTTAATGTGCTAGGGAATTTACTTCTTTTGCCCTGTTGTTGTTGTTGTTATTATTATTATTATTATTGATTATCATTTTTTTTTTTACTCATACAGACAAGCACTGATTTGGTACAGCCGGTAGGTAAATATCCAGAATATTCTGGATTTTTAAAAATATTTTATGTGCACTATATACATGGATATTATCTAGAATGAGCTTTTTTTTTTTCTCATGGCACTGCTAGTCACAGATTTAACCTCAAGCCATTTATTTTAAATGCTCTCTAGCTTTGTTTAACTGGTGTTACCCTACTGAAGAGCTTTGTGTTTCTCATCATATCTTACCATGATCTGTTTCATCTTTTGTTTTTTTTTTTTTCTTTGCTATTCTGCATACTCTAAAGACTGACTCTTCAAAAAGTCTTTCCCTGTGTAACCTGATCATGGAGGAAACTCCAGAGAGTGGGTTGGCCGAAGAAATTCAAAGATCTCAGATTGACCTAGGTGCATTTATTTGGGGCCCTGATGCTAGTACAGAGAGTATCAGCCAGGAAATTACCCAAGGTGGGTCTCAGGAAGACTCTTCATGTCTCTCTGAAGCAGAGCAAGACATTGGATTATCCACTGGAATTCCTTCTTCTGCTGACTGGCACACTGTAGCTGAACAGGGTGAGCATGTCGTGGGGCCAGCCCCTCCGTGTGGAAATGAACAGCTGTACCCAAAGCTTGTGCCTGAGGCTGAATTTGCCACAGCGGCTGGTATGGAGATGGAGCAGCCTCATGACTTACCTGCCTCAGAGATGGCAGCCACAGAAACTGGTGGCCTGGTCAGAGAAAGTCAAGAAGATGTTAAACAGTCAGAAGAAGAGGAAGAGAAAGAGAAGATGGAAGATTCTATGTGGGCAGGTGTGGAGACATGTGAAAAGGTAGACACTGGAGCTATTGATATCAAAGCACTAGAAGGTACAAAGGAATTTGAAGAGAAAGCATGTGAATGTACAGGAGACAGGCTAGTAGATCTTCTTAAGAAAATAGGAAAGCAAGACCAGGAGACCTTAGCAGTCAATAAAGAGGAAATGATGAAAGATCTAAGAGCTAGTTGTAAGGAAAGTGAAAAGACCAATGAAAAGTATTTTGATAAGATTGGTGTATTAGAAGAAGACCTGGAAAGACTAGATATGGCAGCTGAATTTAGTAACAGAAGCCAAGGGCTAGAGGAGGGGAATCAAGTAGTAATTAATAATTGTGAAATTATAGAGGGCTCTGGAGCTAAACCTGTCCATCACACAGATATTTTGAATCTGCGTCTCCAGACTGATTCTGTATCTAATCTTGAAAATGCCAGCCCTGAGGGATGGGGTTTAGCTAGAAAAGACATAAGGAAAAATTTAATAGACTCTCCTAACCAGGATATAATACATCACTCAGGACAAGGCAGTGCAGATGCTGAAGAGATTCAGCATGAGGCTGTGTTACATACTCCTGAGGTTGACAGGAATGAAAATCAGGCTGTTGTTTTATCAATAAAACATAAAGTGACAGCTCAGTCTAGGACAGATCTTAATTATTCTCTGGGAACTAATGCAAACAGAAGAGATTGGTGTTTGTGTAAGGCAGAAGACTCATTACTAGAGGGGTCTGAAAGTACAGTGACTGGGAACTGTAGCCATACCATTTACTTGCCAACAATTGTAAAAACAGACTCTTGGGCAACAGATCCAGGCCAAATCTGGCAGCCAAGCTTGGATTCAATAGTGAATAGTATGGATATACTAGAATTCCCTGGTATACCAGATGGCCAAGTAAGTGGATTTGCCAGTTGGCTTAATCCTATTAACCACTGGCCTATCAGAGATACAGGAGGCTTAGATAATTGCTGGGAACATTTAGATATAGTTGAAGGTGAGAGAGGGCTGGATGTGGACTTAGCAGCAGATGTATGTGGGGAACAAGCCATTGCTAACTGCTGGGAACAAAGCCAAGAGATAGCTAGACCGTTGGTTCTGGGCACCTCCCACAATGCTAGCACCGAGAGTTCTGCTAGTCCGCGAGACAATGACATCAGCAACTCAGATTTATCTGAAGATGAAATTGCTAACCAGAGATATGGATTGTTGTACCAAGACATAGAGCCTGATAAAGAAGAGGTACTTACCCCAGTGTGTAGTACAGACTAGCCAAAGACTTCTGTAGGTTCTTTTTTTCCTAATGTTTCCCACCTACTTCATCCATCAGTATCTTCTCTGAGGCCTGCCTCATCTCCTTGAAATTTGTGCAAACCAAACACAAATAGGTTGACAAAAAAAAAATTACAAAACAGGATCTTTGTATTGGGAACTAATGAGTCTATTTTACCATCCCATTTATTGTGTTTATTCTACTTTCAGTTTTACTGTTCAAATACCAAAAATACGTAGAACAGACTAATTTACTCTTCCTAAAGTGATTTTATAGAAGTAAGAACACATGAAATGTTTCTGCCCAGGCCCCCTGAAACTATAGACTCTCCTAATTGCTGTTTATCCAAATGATGTATTAGAGAAATACTGAAAATGCTTGTAGATACTATCAGTAGCCTAAAAAGGGAGCTATTAACCCCTTGTGGCTTTTCTCTGGAATCATCTTCTCATTATTGAGAAAGTGGGCTTTGGTTAACGCTGAGCCACATGCCAGTAAAAATTATTATTTGTAAAAATAATCTTTGTCAGCCTATTTAAAATAATACAGTGGCCTTTTTCATTTCCTAAACACTTTCATGCACAGCAACCTTTTGTATTATTTTAAAACGTGTGGTGGTCTTCACTTTCCAACTTGTCTGATGGACATTTACTGATCCCACAAAAATGATAAAACATAATGTACTTTGATTTCCCTTTCTGTTTAGGCTTCTGGTGGTACATTTAATGGATTCACCCAGGTAAGAGATTGATTCACTGGCACATTCTACCTGCTGAGAATGATGCAAATTGTTAAAATACGGACCTCAACGTCACTGGAATAGCATAATGTTGAAGCATGTCAGTGCAAAACTTGACCCTACGACTTTCAAGTTCAGTAATGGAAGCAGTAATAGTGGCAACGTTGTAGGGTGTTGTGAAGAGTCAAAGAGACATGCAGGCAGAGCACTTTGCCCAGTAGCCCGGCACCTACTAAGGGCTTCCCGGCTGCACTAGCTATTAATATTGTTAGCCCTGCTGTGGAATTATGCTGATTCCTCTACTGGAAATGAGAAGTTCTCCTGATCTGAGAGATCCACTAGATTCAGCTGTTAGAAAAGAGGAGATAGGATTGCTTTGAACCAATGGGATGGATCTTTAGAAAATAGAAATGGTTTTTAGGAGCCTCCTTATGGAGATTCATATAAGAGCCCTACTACATAGAACCTTCTCTCTTCAGTCATTCTTTAGGAAGGAGCTATTTGAGGATCAGAAATGGTAGATTGGCTCTGATCAATAAGGCAGAATTTCCCTTGGGTGTTGGTGGAAGAGGAGCCACAAGGTGGACTGTCCCATCATTCTGTATGACCCAACAGATGGACAGTTGTAACCCATGTAAGGACAGGCCATACCACTCTCAAGCCCGTGGAGTAAGTTCTGAAAACCTCTTCAAGGGAGACTTCAAACAGAGGCTTGTCTGTGCTGAATGCTTTGTCTCAGAATATTAGAGATGAACAATTTCTAATTTTAACATTTAGAATTTCTCTATTTAAAAGTTTGACTATTTTCCCCCATGTTACCTGTAAAATGATAAAGTCCGCCCACACCCGCATCCAAATACAGGTACACACAAACATGGAGGGAGAAGATAATGCATCTCTTCAGTCTGCATAAAACTCTTTTGAAAGGTCATGTCATAAGAATACTCATTACTCATTTTTTTAAATGTGTATGTTTATCAGTTATAAATGCACATCATGTAAAGAGTAACAAAATTGTATTAGAGCGTTTTATATAAAAAGTCAGACCGTCATACACCTCCTCCATTTCCTGTTTCTTAGAGGTAAATACTTTTACTCCTTTTCCATATTGTCTGATCTCAGTCACGTGTGTGCATGACTTGCTTATAATGCTACTTCTTGGTCTCTAAAGCATTATCTATCGACTCATCTCTCTGGAAGGTGCAGACTTAATGTGCCCTCAGACGCCTCCCCCCACCCCAGCTCACCCTCCCTCTCTTTCCTGCCATTCCTCTTCTGTAGTCCCAGATAGGCATCCATCCAATCTCTGGTAATACTACAATGACATCAGTACTATCGGCGCCCCCACCATGAAGTTTACCTTTAGTTTTATGCCGACTTTCTGTTCTCTTTTGAGGAAATAATCGCAGGGTCTTGTTTGCTTGTTGGTTCGTTTGCTTAGGGTTTTAGGGACTTATCACTAATTCAGTCCCATACTCTGTAGTTAGTTATATAAATCTCCCCTCGTTTTATTGGAAAATATTAAGCATTCGGTCAGTTTCATCTTCCTGAAGAATTTGCTTGTCTCTCCTGGACTGCTCTGTCTGAACTGGGCTCTCTCTGGCGACACCTGCTGTCACACCTGTTCCCACAGGCCTGTCCTAGGCATTGTCTTCACCTCTCCCTTTTTTTTATTTTTTAAGATTTTTTATTTATTTATTTGACAGAGAGAGACACAGCGAGAGAGGGAACACAAGCAGGGGGAGTGGGAGAGGGAGAAGCA